CTCTCTCTCTCTCTCTCTCTCTCTCTCTCCCTCTCTCTCTCTCTCCCTCTCTCTCTCTCTCTCTCTCTCTCTCTCTCCTCTCTCTCTCTCTCTCTCCCTCTCTCTCTTCTCTCTCTCTCTCTCTCTCTCTCTCTCTCTCTCTCTCTCTCTCTCTCTCTCTCTCTCTCTCTCTCTCTCTCTCTCTCTCTCTCTCTCTCTCTCTCTCTCTCTCTCTCTCTCTCTCTCTCTCTCTCTCTCTCTCTCTCCTCTCTCTCTCTCTCTCTCTCCCTCTCTCTCTCTCTCTCTCTCTCTCTCTCTCTCTCTCTCTCTCTCTCTCTCTCTCTCTCTCTCTCCTCTCTCTCTCTTCTCTCTCTCTCTCTCCCTCTCTCTCTCTCTCTCTCTCTCTCTCTCTCTCTCTCTCTCTCTCTCTCTCTCTCTCTCTCTCTCTCTCCTCTCTCTCTCTCTCTCTCTCTCTCTCTCTCTCTCTCTCTCTCTCTCTCTCTCACTCTCTCTCTCACGCCTCCTCTCTATCCTCTCTCCCCTTTATCTCTCTCTCTTCTCCCTCGCTCTCTTTCTTTGCCTCTCTCCATCTGTTTCTTTCTCTTTCCATGCAGTATACATATCTCTTTATCTCTGTTTCTTGTTCTCTCTCTCCCTCTGTCTCTCTCCTTTCTCTCCATACAGTATCTCTCTCTCCCTCCCCCCTCATCTCTCTCTCTTTTCCTTCTCTCTCATCTCTCTCTTCTCCTTCTCTCTCTCTTTCTTCTCCCCCTTTCTTTCTCTCGCTCCCTCTTTCCTCTTTCACTCACGTCTCACCCTCTCTCTCTTTCTCTCCCTTTTCCCTCTTTTTCACTCATCTCTCACCTTTCCCCTCTCTCTCTCTCTCTCTCCTTCCTCTCTCTTCCTTTGTCTTTCTCTTTCTGTCTCTCTCCTCTCCATACACTCTCTCCCTCTTCCCCCTTTCTCTCTTGTCCCTCTCTCATTGCTTATTTCTCCTTCTCTCTCTCTTCTCCCTTTCTTTCTTTCTTTCTCTCCCTCTCTCTCTGTCCCTCCCTCCCTCTTTCCTCTCTTTCACTCATCTCTTACCCCCTCTTACTCTCTATCTATCTATCTATCTATCTATCTCTTTCTCTATTTGTTAATCTTTCTATCTGTACATTTGTAGATTTGTTCGAGGTTGTTGGTCTTTCTCCCTCTCTCTGTCTCTCTGCCTCTTTCTCTCTCCCTCCATCTCTCTATCTCCCCTCTCCTCCTTCCTCACCTTTTACTATCACCCTCTCTCACCATCTCTTTTCTTCTCTCTCAGTCTGTCTCTCCTGCTCTTTCTCTCTCTGTCTCTACCTCCCTCTCCATCCTCTCTCTCTCTCCCTCTCTCTGCTCTGCTCTCTTCTTCTCGTCCTCCTCTTCTCTGTGAGTTTGGTTCTTGTTATCTGGGCTCTGTGTTTGATCTCACTTCTTCCTCATTTCTTCTCATCTGCGTCACTCTCTCAGTCTCCCGCTGCCTCCCACTCTCCAAACTCTTTCATGCTCCTCTCACGCTTTCATTTTAGAGCGCGCTATCTCTCCCTCCCGTCTTCCCTTTCTCTTTGTCTCTCGCTCTCTTTCACCCCCCTCCTCTCTCTCTTTCTCTCTGTCACTCACACTCCCTCTCTCTTCCTCCCTCTCTCTTTGTCTCTCCCTCTTACACTCACACACTCTCCCTCTCTCTTGCTGTCTCTTTCTTTCTCTCCCTTTCTCTCTCATACACATATCCTCTCTCTGTCCCTCTCTCACCCTCCCTCTCTCTTTTTGTCTCTCTCTCACCCTCCCTCTCTCTTTTTGTCTCTCTCTCACCCTTCCTCTCTCTCTTTCTCTGTCCCTGTCTCTCTCTCCCTCTCTCTCTCGGTCCCTCTCTGACCCTCCGTCTCTCTCTCTCTCTCTGACCCTCCCTCTCTCTCTCTGTCTCTCTCTCTCAACCTCCCTCTTTCTTTCTGTCCTCTCTCTCTCTCTTTGACCCTCCCTCTCTCTCTTGCCTCCCTCTCTCACCCTCCCTCTTTCTTTCTGTCTCTCTCTCTTTCTCTCTGTCTCTCTCTCTGACCCTCCCTTTCTCTCTGTCTCTCTCTTCTGACCCTCCCTCTTTCTTTCTCTCTCTCTGTCTCTCTCTCTCTCTGACCCTCCTCTTTCTCTCTTTTGGTCCCTCTCTCTCTTTGTCTGTCTGTCTCTGTCCCTCTCTCACTCTCTCTTTCTCTGTTACCCCCCCTCTCTCTCTCTCTCTCTGACTTATTCTCTCTCTCTTTCTCTGTCCCTCTCTCTCTCGCACCCTTCCATTTCTCACTCTCTCTCACTCTCTCTTTCTCTGTTACCCCCTCTCTCTCTCTCTCTCTCTTTTCCCTCTCTCCCTCACTCATTAAACCACTCCTTTTCCATCCTCAGTTCATTTGGTGATGGATTTAAAGTCTGGAAACTTGATGATCAGAAATAGCAGCTCGCCCAAGTCCAGTTTGTGGAGTTTATGTCTCAGTGATGAATCAAAATAAAAGACTTTTCTTTTCTTTTCATAACTGCGTATACGTTTATGATTTATTGAGTTTGGATGTTCTTTAGATCTGATTTTGTATAAACTGAATGTGCTGAATACTCTGGAATGACCTGGAGTAGAGGATCCTGCACGTACCTGCACCTGTCTGGAGTCTTGTATTGTACTTTATTTTTATCATCTGTTCAATCTATAAGCACAGTGTCCAAGACAAATTTCACAATAATTCACAATTCACAATAATCCAGTGTATAACATAAAACCAGATTCTTGGGACGGATCTGGGGTGGATCTGGATACACACTTCAATACTTTACAGAGATGTGAGTCTGGTCACCGGTGAATCTCTGTGATTCTATTTGTAAATGATGGTGACCAATAAGCTCCTTCATTTCCATATTTGAAATAGTTGGTTTGTTTACGGACAAAATAGGCTGCGTTCAGACTGCAGCCTGAAGTGACCCAAATCCGATTTTTTGGCCCCTATATGACCTGTATCTGATCTTTTAATGTCAGTCTGAACCACACAGATCCGATTTTTTCAAATGTGACTCAGGACACTTGGATATGTGCTCCTGAAACCGATACATATCTGATCTTTTGACATGTGACTTCAGTCTGAACGGCCAAAGCGCATTCATCCACCTACACGTTATCAACAAGCCACAAACGTCACTATTCTGCGCTGAAGTAGGTGAAAATTGTTAATGAACTCTGTGTCACTGAAGTGAAGCACATCACCACTCACCACTCTTGGCTACGTCTGTGCATCCACACGTTACTTTCAATGGACGTCGCTGCCGCTGTCCCACAAAACACCACGACCAAAAACCTCATCCTTCTCCTTCTCAATCTCTTTCTTAAAACAAGTAAGTTGTTCATGTTCTGGCTCCCGTACGAGAGGAACTTTAAAATCTCCAGGTGCTCGATGCTCGTGTCCATGTTTGGACAACTTCTGTAAACACAGAGCACGCTCGCTGCGGTTGACGTCATCGTGTCTCCAGTGCACATGCGGGACACTTTCGGGCCGTTTAATGTTCACACTGGAGGCACATACAAGTCGCATTTAATTGGAAATGTGACTGACCTCGCAAAAACATCGGATTTCACAAAAAAATCGGAATTGAGCGTTAAGCCCTGCAGTCTGAATGTAGCCATAGTGAAATAAAAACACCAGGATCATGTAGAGTGAGTTAATATGAACATTTTAAGACCCCCATGCTCACTTTCTATTTAGAATGGGAAGGCTAGCAGGTTACAGGCTGTTTGTTGCATTGGGGGGGGGGAAATGCAACAGAGAGCGTGAGGACCAGACTGACACTTGAAAATGTCTTGGTCCATACTGTATTGGATGGATGGATCCAACAGGATTAGCAAACTGTGTTTAAAATGAAATGAAACAAAAAGCAAGGCTGCGAGGGGTGTAACGGTGCATAGAAATCAGAGTTTGATAAGTAAGACCTTGACCTTTTGAGGTCACAGTTCAGTTCATTTTCGATACAGTCTGGAACAAAATGCAAAACCATTTGCTTGTTGTTTATTTGTGTTTTTATTAAACCTACAATTTGTTTTAACATTATACAAACGGGAAAATAAAATAAATGCAAAGTGCTGCCTGGTAATACTAATAGGTATAAGCAACAAATGTATGAAATATTATAAAAAAATAAATTCCTTGTAAACCGTAAACAAAACTTTTCAAAACATAAAGTGCAACACCAATAGTTCCAGTATGACGTTTTTCTCAATCTTAATATTTTTGGAAATACCCTTTCACTAAGGACAGAGGTCGCGGGTGGGGGGGGGGGGATTCCGTGCCAGTGAAAGGCAAAAGTGAGGCCCGGGACGTGATGACCGTAGTTTTGTGAGGATTCACGTGGTTCAGAAGGATGTTGTCAAGGCTCACTGACTTGTGCACAACCACGCACTGAACCGAATGTCCCGCACCAAAATAGTTTGGCACGAATACATGGACCGTTACACCCCTACAGGCTGCTCTAACTTCCATTTTTTGATGTAACTGGTTGAAAATGATCCATGACAGTGGTAAAGTGGTAACGTTGGTTGGTGAATGTGTGAAAAATAAAAACACTTAAAGGTGCTCTGTGTAACTTTTCTGATGGAAGGTGCGTCAAATGGTTTACTCCATAGATGTAATAAATGTCATTGCTCTGTCTGGTATTAAACCTTTCTATCTACCAGACGAAGTTACAAGTCAGATCTGTGGAGAAGCGACCCCGCTCACAATCAGAATCAGTTTTTCTAGGTGTTTCTGAGCTACAAAACCAATTGTAATTAAATAAATGTAAGGTAGAGCTGTTTAATGTCATACTGTGGGACATTCCAGGCAGAGGAATGACAGAATCAAGCACATGACGAACCCTCCACAAGAAAAGTTACACAGCGCACCTTTAACATACGTTTGCAGTAGCAGTTTTAGCGTCTTTAGCTCCTCTTTTTGTTTGACTTCCTGTGTGTAACTGGTCTTCTCCCTGTGTCTCTGCAGCCTCTCTGGAGTGCACCCCGTCGTCTCCTTAAAACCAGATGGACCGAGCCTCTCCACAGACGCGCCGATGTGACCACTACATTCCCACACCCCCCTTTCCTCCTCCTCCTCCTCCTCTTCCATCCACACGCTTTGGATTTCCGGCCGTGTCCACTGACTCATCTGGGAAAACCTCCTAAAAGCTCTCTATATTTTGTACTTGTCATCTCAGACTCATCTCCTCCCGGACCAATAGTTTCCGTTCGCGTTTGACCCGAGATGGCGAGGGACCGCTGGGCTACGATGGGGGAAAAAAAAATAATAATAATGAACCCGCTTTAACTCCCAACATTCATTCCGTCTTTATTTAATCATCTCTAAACCCCAGACTTTGCACACGGGTCTTCGGACTACCACTCCCGGCGAGTACAAAGAGCTCGTCCCGTTTTCCTCGAATCGTTAACATACCGAGAAAGCCGCAGTTTTGCCTTGAGTTTTGATATAGTGATCTGCATGCGATGATGTTCCTTTAGGGATGAGCCGGTCCAGAAAACTACTCCCTTTGACCCACTTTTAGACAATGTGGTTTTCACTATTCGCTCACAAGTGGACGCCGCTAATGATCGATCACACCTCCTTTTACTATGAGGAACATATGGGGATTTTCAAACTAAATCTGTCTCTCTCTCTCTATCGATCTTTTATTCTTTCTCTCTGTTTTTCTCTCTTTGTGCCTCTTTTAATCTTTGAGCCTTTCTTTCTCACTCTCTGTCTCTATTTTTCAGTCTCTCTGTCTCTCGCTTTGCCTCTCTTTATTTCTTACTCTCTCTTTCTCTCTCTCTGCCTCTCTCTTAATTTCTTACCCTCTCTTTCTCTCTCTGTCTCTCCCTCTCTTTGCCTCGCTCGCTTAATCTCTCATCCACTCTTTCTCTCTCGGTCTCTTTCTGTCTCTCTCAATCTTTCACTGTCTCTCTGTCTCTCACTTGGCCTCTCTTTATTTCTTGCCCTCTCTTTCTCTCTGCCTCCCTCTCTTAATTTCTTATCCTCTCTTTCCCTCTCTGTCTCTCCCTCCCTTTGCCTCTCTCTTTTAATCTCTCACCCTCTCTTTCTCTCTCTGTCTCTTTCTGTGTCTCTCGATCTTTTACTCTCTCTCTGTCTCTCGCGTTGCCTCTCTTTATTTCTTACCCTCTCTTTCTCTCTGCCTCTCTCTCTTAATTTCTTTCCCTCTCTGTCTCTCCCTCTCTTTGCAACTCTCTCTTAATCTCTCATCCTCTCTTTGTCTGTCTCTCAATCTCTCTGTCTCTTTCTCTTCCTCTCTCTACCTCTCTCTCTTCATCTCTGACCCTCTCTTTCCATCTCTCTCTGTTTCTCCTTCTCTCTGTCTCTCTCTCTTAATCTCTCACCCTCTCTTTCTCTCTCTTTGTCTCTCCCTTTCTCTGCCACACTCTTAGTATCTCACCTTCTCTTTCTTTGTCTTTGTCTCTCTCTTTCTCTCTGCTGGTCTCTCTTAATCTCTGACCCTCTCTTTCTTTCTCTCTGTCTCTCTTTGCCTCTCTCACTTAATCTTTTGCTTACTCTTTCTATCTTTCTGTCTCTCTCTCTCTCTCTCGCGATGTTTCTCTCTGCCTCACTCTGTTAATCTCTCACCCTCTCTTTCTATCTCTGTTTCTCTCTCTTTTCATCTTTCTCTCTGCCTCTCTTCCTTAATCTCTCGCCTTCTCTTTCTGTCTGCCTCTCTCTTGTGGTCTCTCTGTCTCTCACCCTCTCTCGGTCTCTCTCTCACACTCTCTGCTCACACTCTAAACCTCTCTCTGTATCTCTATGTGTCTCTCTCTTTTCCCCTCTCTTTGTCTTTCTGTCTGTCTCTCTCCAGCTCTCTCTCTTTGCCTTCTCTCTCTTCCTTCTCTTTTTCTGTCTCTCCGTCTCTTTCTCCTTTCTCTCTGTCTCTTTCCCTTCCCTCTTTCTTTGCCCATCTCTCTTTCTCTCTCTCTGTCTCTCTAACTGCTCTGTGTTTTCAAAGTAAAACCTCTGGTCTCTTTCCATAAATCAAAGTAATAGTAATAGCGGGGCATATGGGAAATACGATGGAGAATATGTGAATAATCTGAAATGGTTGAAAGATTAGACTGGGCGTATGGTGCTGATTTAGCCAGACCACCAGGCCATATGTGTGAGACAGTTCCCCTTTGTTTCACGTTCAACAGTTCCTCCTTTGGTGATAGCATTTGGCAACTGCGCATTTGGCACAAGTTAATTCAAATGTTGTGTTTTTGAAACTTAAAAATAGGACTCACTTAGATCACACACTGCGGACGGGTTTGCCAACAACAACACAAATATACTGTATAGTACAACAGAAGATGCAGAACGGGAACTGATAAATGTATGTGGTGTACAAAATATCATCTGCTTAAAGGTGCAATACGTAACTTTTCTGGTGGAGACTACGCTACTTGCTTGTCTCAGGAATGTTCCACAGTAAATATTCAACGGTCCAATTTTTACATAGTGTTTTTAATTGATTTTTTTACGTAAAGAAACTCACCCAGCGCACACATTCACGCACCAGTGTACGCAGACACTGGGGGCGAGGTAGGTTAAGTGTCTTGCCCGAGGACACAACGACAGTATTCATCTGTTGGAGCAGGACTCGCACTGACATCCAGCAGGTCAGTGGATCTGACCGCTCAACCAATGATGTTTGTGACAAGCACAGGATTCAAACCACCGACCTTCCGATCAGTGGACAAACGCTTTACCAACTATGGCATTAACCTTACCGTATTTTTCAGACTATAAGGCGAACTTAAAATCCTTAAATTTTCTCAAAAATGGACAGTGCACTTTATAATCTGGTGCGATTTATGTATTAATTCTGGTTGTGCTTACTGACCATTGAACCAATTTCAAGTGGCATACGGCACTCAAAAATCTGTCAGAATGTTTTAGTATAATTTGGGTAAGTGAAGCTAGCCTGATTCATCAACCGGTTTCACTTCGTGGAAACCTGCCTGACCTCATTCACTCAACGGCAGGCGGGTACTATTTAAATTTAACCAATCGCTGCTATTTGGTCATGACATATGTAATGCACCGCTAATTGAGCTTAACTGGAATATTTAAGCTTCTTCCCAAATCCTGTAGGAAGAAGGGCAATAACGTCTTTCCCCTTGATAAAATTCATCCAAACATTCTCTTTGTTCCAGCTTTAAATCCTCGATCTCGGGAATTGTTGCCAACACAGAATGTATGGCTTCATCTACATCCCTCTCAACCACTTTGTTTACTGTTGTGTTGTATCACAAAAGGGACCCAGTCATGGCTTCACAGCTCTTCGCTGATTGGTCGGTGCATGGTCTACAATTTAGGGCGTTCTTGCAAACCATCTAGTGTATTCAAATTTCTAACCTAGTCCTGGGAGAGAAATGAAATTGAGCGGAGGCACTAGGTGGTCGGAGAATTATGGCTACCGTAGTCAGGAGCCTCACGAAGTCCAACAGAAGCAGCACAAGGAACGAGCTGTTTTTTCAGCGCCTATAGTTTATGCAAATTAGTCATGTGGGTTTAAGTTTCGTTTCTGTAAAACGTAAACAAATGTGCACAAAGCTGAATTAAACACATTATTAATCAGTGTATATTTGAGTCCTCCTCGTTGGAAATATTAAAAAAACAACCTTAAATGATCCACCCACATTCACATTCATAATACACATTCACCAAGACAGGGAGGCAACGTCGGGCAACACTACAATGGATGGTTACAATCTGTCAATGAATTGTGGATGCCTGGGCTAAGGGATCAGTCTCAAGTGTCGTCAGTTTGTTTCGCTTAATGCACCTTATAATCCAGTGCACCTTATGTATGAAAATAGATGAGAGAATTCAACATTATTGATATTGCACTTTATAATCCAAAAAATACAGACTATAAGGCATTATTTTTACAGTATGGAGACAAGCAGATGGTGTCTCGGGTCAGATTTGTGAAGAGGTGATCTAGCTCATAGTAAGAATGTATGTTTTTGAAGGTACTGTTGAGCTATTAAAAAAAAAAAAAACATAATTAATTGAATGCTACCTAGACACGGTGGAACATTCCAAGCAAAGTAACACATCTCCATGACAAGCAGACAAGTTACGTGAAGCATCTTTAATAATCAAGGTCATATTGTTTTCTTCTATGTCACTGTCTTTTTGTGATTTAATCTGAAAAACAAGCTGATGGGACTTTCATACAATCCTCTCTCTTCCTCAGTACCAGTGAACCTCTTCTGAACTTTATGTCAAACCTGTAGCAGAACCTCATCACATACATGGACAATACTCAAATCCAGATCCTCCACGATACAAGAGAATCCTCCAGACTTCAGTAGCATCTTCTGAACTGTAAATGTGTCTCTCGTGTGTCTGCTCAGTGTCGTGCAATGGTCCTGTGTCATGGGAACTTCACTGTGAAACCAACCAAATGTTAAACTGTGGGTTTTCTGTCTGCAGCAATGTTATCCTGAAGGAAGTGGAAGTGTTCACGGCAACACTCATCTTCAAATAGGGGAAAATAGCTTGAATTCAGTAGTATTTAGCTTGATTTGAGTGTATTTGGACAAGTCGAGACATAAAGCTTGAAAAATCAGTTCAAAAATAATAATCCCAATAGTCGAAAATGGAGCAAGTCAGAATTCTATGATGAAACAAAAACACACAAAGTTCCACGTCTTCTCTGTTAGTATAAATGAACTAAAGTAAAATTATGTTTTTATGATACTTTGCAGCTGATGTCATCAACATTCGCTGGGGGTGTGATGCTAACTTAATGCACTGCTGTGTTTAAAGCTCAGTTCTTCAAGTTAGGCTACGTTCAGACTGCAGCCTGAAGTGACCCAAATCCAATTTTTTCACCCCAGTGCAACCTGTATCTGATCTTTTAATGACTTTTTGAAAGGATTTTTTCAAATGTGACCCAGGCCACTTGGATATGTGCTCCTAAAACCGATACATATCTGATCTTTTGACATGCGACTTCAGTCTGAAAGGCCAGGTCACATTCATCCCACCTACACGTCACAAATGTACACGAACGTTCTTCTCGTCATACAGAAATTGTGTCTGAACTCTGTGTCAGTGAAGCAGTGAAGCACAAAGCAATCCCACCACTCTTGGATGTGACTCCGCACCCACACGTTTTTTTCTACGATCGTTGCTGCCACTGTCCCCCACAAAACACCATGGCCAAAAAACCTTCTTCTCATTCTCAATCTCCTCCTTAAAACAAATAAGCTGTACATGTTCTGACTCCGGTACAACGGCAACTTTAAAATCTCCAGGTGCTCAATGCTAGAGTCCATGTTTAGGCAACTTCTATAAACACTTGTTTGCAGCATGTGACGTCATTGTGTCCTACAATGCGTCTGTGGGACACTTTGGGGGCATTTAAAGATCACACTGGAGATCACATACAAGTCGCATTTAATTGGAAATGTGAACGACCTCGCAAAAAAATCTGAATTCACAAAAATATCCGAATTGAGCGTTAAGCCCTGCAGTCTGAACGTAGCCTTAGACTTATATCTGAGCTTTGTTTTAACACAATCTGACCACATAGAACTGAACTACAACATGTGAGCTGATTTGTGCTGTTAGACAAGTCTCTAGCATTAGAAAACATTCACTCTAACCTTTTTTATCCAAAATCGAACCCCCAAACAGGACCATGAACGCTGACTTTAACCACCATGCCCTACAAACACAAAAGACCTTAACTTGTCTGAGTGTGAAACTGAGAAAAATTACTTTCAAAGTTTCTGTTTTTG